TGCTGCTTCTGATTACTACCACACCGGGGTGTCCCGAACTTGGTAGCTAGCCAGCTAGCTAGCTAGCTAGCCAGTCACCCAGCTAGCTAGCTAGCTAGCCAGCTAGCTAGCTAGCTAGGTAACGCACGTGTTTAAGTTCAGAGAAAAAGAGATAAGCTAAGAAGGTCAGGGCCAAGCAACGAAACAATTTAAAAACGAAAGAAAGCCAACGGCCCCAAAAGCTGCTGCTGCTGCTGCTGCAGCAACAGCAGCAGCAGCACCAGCAGCAGCAGCTGCTGCTGCTGCAGCAGTTGTTCTCTGTTCAGACAGTTCCTTCTTTCTTACTAAGAGCTGCAGCAGCTCGCATCCCGAGGCTGACGACACATGTGGGGTTTCTTCTCTCACCGCTGGGATCGATCGATCCCCGGCTGGGATCGATCGATCCCCCCGATCCCCGGCTGGGGTCGATCGATCCCCGGCTGGGATCGCTGGGTCCCCGCGATCCCCGGCTGGGATCGATCGATCCCCCCGATCCCCGGCTGGGATCGCTGGGTCCCCGGCTGGGATCGNCGATCCCCGGCTGGGATCGATCGATCCCCCCGATCCCCGGCTGGGATCGCTGGGTCCCCGGCTGGGATCGCTGGATCCCCCCCCAATGAATCCTTCGCAGTTGGGGGCCCCACACAGACACAGCATCTCCTCGTACCCAGGCCCATAGGCGTAGGTTAGAGGGGAGCCTAAGAAGCAGCAGAAAACATTAAAAAACAAATGCATATGCATTAGGGTTTATTAGGGTTTATTAGGGTTTAGTAGGGTTTGGTAGGGTTTATTAGGGTTTAGTAGGGTTTATTAGGGTTTAGGGTTTATAAAACACCCCCAGGGATATCCTTCTTAGCCAATACCCCAACCTGATGCAGCTTTTGGTTTGTTGTTGAGGGTTTAGGGTTTCTATATCACCAGCAGCAACATACTATTAGGGTTTAGGGTTTATTAGGGTTTAGGGTTTATTAGGGTTTATTAGGGTTTATTAGGGTTTATGTAGTACCCGCCGTTATATCTTTTCTTTTGGGGCCTATTTAGGGTTTCTATAACCAGCAGGAGCACCTATATCAGGGTTTACTAGTTTACTAGGGTTTAGGGTTTATGAGGGTTTAGGGTTTAGGGTTTATGAGGGTTTAGGGTTTATAAAATACCAGCTGGTATATCTTTTTTAGCAACCTGCGGGGGCTATGGGCTTATGTCGGGTCCCTATAACCAGCATGAGCATCTCTATCCGTGTTTATTAATTATTAGGGTTTAGGGTTTACTAGGGTTTAGGGTTTATGAGGGTTTAGGGTTTATAAACTACCAGCTGGTATATCTTTTTTAGCAAAAACCCCAACCTGCGGGAGCTGGGGCTTATGTGGGGTCTCTATAACCAGCAGGAGCACCTCTATCAGGCTCTAGGGTTTAAGAGGGTTTAGGGTTTACTAGGGTTAAGGGTTTATGAGGGTTTAGGGTTTATAAATACCAGCTGGTATATCTTTTTTAGCAAAAACCCCAACCTGCGGGAGCTGGGGCCCTCGCCAGATGGTCGCCACCCGAACATTTGGGTCGCAAGAGTGATTCAAAAAACGGCTAGCATTGCCGATGAACTGCATATACACCACAAATATAAATATAAATACAAATATAAATAAAATAAATAAATAAATAAATAAGTAAATATGTTTATAGAGCGAGAGAGAGAGGGAGAGAGAGAGACTCATATATTAGAGTGATTCAAAAAACGGCTAGCATTGCCGATGAACTGCATGTACACCACAAATATAAATATATTTATAAATAAATAAAACAAAAAAAAAAATATATATATATACAGAGAGAAAGAGAGAGGGAGAGAGAGAGAGACAGAGAGAGAGATTCATGTAGATAGAGTGATTCAAAAAACGGCTAGCATTGCCGATGAACTGCATGTACACCACAAATATAAATAAAATAAATAAAATAAATAAATATATATATATATATAGAGAGAGAGAGAGAGAGGGAGAGAGAGAGACAGAGAGAGAGGGAGAGAGAGAGAGGGATTCATGTAGATAGAGTGATTCAGAAAACGGCTAGCATTGCCGATGGACTGCATATACACCACAAATATAAATATATAAAAATATTTATATTTATATTTATACTTATATTTATATTTATATTTATATTTATATTTATATTTATATTTATATTTATATTTATATTTATATTTATATTTCCGTTCCGTGTTGTTGCCGTA